AGGAATCAGACAAGCAACAAGAATTCCAGTAGTGAAGGTGCTATGTTGTGCCATCTAGTCAATTCGACCCATAGCGACCCTGTATAGGGTTTCCAAGGAGCAGCTTGTGAGCTTGAACCGCCGACCTTGCAGTTCAAATGGCTTTGCAGTCTGGTGCATTAACCCACAGCGTCACACCAGGACTCCGTGAAGGTACTATAGTGCTTGGCAAATATAATGTGGGATTTACCCTTACTCTTTCATACAAATAAAAAGGTGTGCAAATGGAGGTCAAAACGGAAGACGGTTGATTTCTACAGCAAATCAAATTCCCAGGGAGACACCTGAGCAAGCTTAGACAAAAGAAGGTAATGGAGGCAAAACTCTGTTCTAAGCTCTGAAGGAAAACCAGATTTTGAGACTGAGTTTGTTCCATCTGGTGCTGTTCTTGTTTTTTTCTTGTTCCTCCGAAGTTCTTAACTGCTTAAAAACCCCAAACTGTGATTTAGAGGTCAGAATTTACAACTCAAAGACAAACATGGATTTTTCAAGTTCCTTTTGAAATCTCCTCTTCTCTTTCATCCCCTGAGCCTTTTGAACTTTTCTCTAGTTTACTAGTAACAAGTGGAACATTCCCCAATCAGGAAAATATGCCATGAAACCTTGTTACCATATCTTTCCTTGTAATGTTTTTTACCTAAATCATTCCTTTTGGAAAGGCCCAGCTGAAGGGTTAGAAACAGTGTTACTGACACATTAAATTTTCACACATAAAATCTGTAGAGAATTTCATGTTCGATAGGAAGGATTACTAAAATGATGTCATCACATCTGAACTGGCCCATACTTCAGACTGAGAATAGGGGTGGGGAGAACCCAAAATGGCTGCAGCTGCCTCAGTTTACCAGGTCATCACTGAGAGAACCTTGTGGCCTGAAGGCATAGGGTCTTCACCAGTAGGTGCATTGGTGCCAGCAGAAGAGACTGCTGCAGAACCTGATTTCTTGATTTTATACACCCCCTCGTGGTTTTTAATCTTTCCAGTACTCCAGGATGCACAGAATGCATGGGAAAATGGGAGCAAAAACAGGAAGATGTCAATGGGATTACTATCTCTGATTTTTATATTATGGTTTTTTATATACACATACACACACAGAGGTAGACGCTTTTCACCTTGATAAAAGACTAAACTAAGCCCAATACTTTTTTATATTTACTAATGAGGAGTCCTGGTAGGGCACTGTGGGTTAATGTGCTGGACTGCAAAGTCGGTTTGAACTGCAAGGTTGGCAGTTCAAGCTTACCAGCCACTCCTCGGGAACCCAATACAGGGTCACTATGAGTCAGAACCAACTCGACAGCACTTAAAAACAACAATGGGGAGCTGGAGACCTGGTGTGGTGCTGTAGGATAAGTACTGGACTGGGAACCGTAAGATTTCGAAGTTCAAACCCACCTTCTGTTCCTTGGAAACCCTATACAGGGTGTCTGTAAGTAAGACTAACTGGATGGCATTTAACAACAACAATGAGGTTATAGGAGTACCTGGGTGGTGCAAACAGTTAAGCACTTGGGTGCTAATGTTAAAAGTTGGAGGTTTGCATCCACCCAGAGGTGCCTTGGAAGAAAGGCCTGGCTAACCACTTCTGAAAAATCAGCCAATGAAAACCCACTGAGTCACAGCTCTACTCTGATACACATGGGGTTGCCATGAGTTGGTGTTGACATGAAGGCAAGTAGCTAATGAAGGGACTGCAGGACTGCCAATTTACAGGACCAGTCAGCGTAAGGCTCAATGATGCTTTTCAAAGTAAAGGACAGCATAAATTAGCTACTAAGAAACCCCTTTGTATTTTAAGAGTCTTGTCTATCTTTCAAAAAATCTTTTCATTGTGAAATAGAATTTACTTTGAGAGGGCTTCAAAGTTCATGGAAAACTGTTATCTTTGAATTCCATCTTTCCATGAATTAAAACACACACACACACAAACTTCTAACAGAAATGCGTGAAAAACATAAATGTGCACCTTGATGAATATTATAACGCACCACGGAGGTCAGGAGCAGAACATTGTCATCATCCCCTCAGGGGTCTTCTTTAACGGACCTCTCCTCTCACAACTGAGAAACCTAAAAATGCACCTGTTTTTAAAGTTTGACTTCAATCACTTCCAATGCTTCCCAGTTTGTGTCTTTTGAAAATTTCCCTGGATTTCATCCCGTGACACCACCTACTGCCATTGAGTTGACTCTGATTCATAGTGACCCTGTATAAGGTTTCCAAGGCTGTAAATCTTTACAGGAGCTGAAAGCCTCATCTTTCTTCCTCGAAATCACTGGTAAGTTTGAACTGCCAGCCTTGTGGATAGAAGTCCAATGCTTATTCTACCAGGGCTCCTTTATCCCCAGAAAGAAGCTTGTAATTGCTTATAATATATAGAGAGAGGCCTGGTGATGCTGCAGCGTAAGCACTGGACTGCTAACCATAAGACTGGTGGTTCAAGCCCATCAGCTGCTCCACAAGGGAAAGATGAGACTTTCTGCTCCTGTAAATATCTATGCATAGCAAACTAGTGCCCAATTTAATTTTAATAAAATAATTTTTAAGCAGGATAAATGAAAATAAAAATAACCCCCAAAATAGTTTCTCATGCACTAAAATTATTAGCAGATTCTTTGTCAAAACCCCAGCTGTGTGGGACTTTGCTTTCAGCACAAATGACAAGACATGAAGTCACTTCTCTCTTTATAAGGGGCACGTGCCTAAAACTAGTATTTGCAAATCCAGCCTATTTCTTTCCAGTAAGGTTTTCCTCCCTTCAAAGACTGTAATATAGAACCAAAAACTCAGAATATGGATGTCTTCATATTGAGAATCTTAATTAATTTTCTAACATTTAACACAGGATATACAGACACTTTAGAATTGGGGCTTTAGGGTAAAAACAAATATATCATTGTAGTCGTTGTTATGGACGGTGGAGTTGGTTCCGACTCATAGCGACCCTGTACAGGGTTTCCGAGACTGTAAATCGTTACTGGTGCAGAAAGCCTCATCTTTCTCCTGCAGAACAGCTGGTAGTTTTGAACTGCTGACCGTGAGATGGGCAGCCCTATTTATAACCACTACGTATCATTATAAAGAGATAAATTGGTTCCCAATTCTAGACAGGAGGTGAAGGTAAAATAAAGGCCCAGTTGCTTTAGAGGAAAGCCATATTGTCTTTTCCTCAATATCCCTATTCTACATTATTACTGGAAGTTACTATAAAATGTTGACTGAATGCATTTTACATAAATAATTTCAGAGAAAAAAGCTTATTAGTTTGGCATTTATTTGTGACTTCTTCATCATGAAATTATTGGAGTCCTGGTGTGGTGCTGTAGGGTAAGCACTGGATTGCTAAATTCAAGGTTGGTGGTTCAAACCCACCAGCCACTTCTTGGAAATCGTATACAGGGTCGCTATGAGTCAGAACTGACTCGAAGACATTTAACAAAAACAAATTATGAAAATGTGGAGAAAATAAAGCACAGGATTGTAAGAGAAATTATTATGCATAATATATGTATGACAGGATACAAGAGAGCTTGTCAGAAAAACACATTTGTTTCTCATCTTATTTTTCACTTTTGTTTCCTTGGACATTTCTAGGTGATGTGGGGTGCAGTGCAGTTTCAAGGCAAGATTCTGAAAGAACTACAAGACACTAAGAAAGTTCTTGTGGAGAAATGCAAACAAACAAACAAACCCACACAAGAGCGCATGCTATCTCTTTGTTCCTCTCCCTCCCCACATTTAGGTGAGGAAAGGGAAAACTGAAAAACCGCTGCGGAGCCTAACGTCTTGCATTGTGCCACCCAGTGGCCAAGGCTATGACTTTGTTTTTTTATTTTTGCGAAATGTTGAAAAACTGAAAAATTCAAAGTTGTGAACAGATTTGACAAGTCGTTACTCATATTTATGGGAGGGTGTAAATGCCAGCTGAGGAGTCATTTGTATCGATACTAGTTTAAAGAGCACTTTTGTTGTTTATACATCCCCTATTAATGGCTTTGTCTATGCCTCTGTGAACAAGTTCTGATAAGAGTCTGTTAAGGAAATCCCAGTCTCTCTACCAAACCCCCAGCTCTCAGCGCTATCTGAAGTGATAAAGTGGGGAGTGAGGAAGAATATGGAAGGCAGCCTACTGTTTTGTTTACAGGAGCTTGTTTGAAGAAAGTTATAGGCCTGGTTTCAACTTTCCTTTCCAGTTATGATGAGGTCAAGGTTGTGGACTGGGTTTTTGTTTTGTTTTTTTCTTTCCCAAGTGTTTCATTCTTCTCTAACTTGCTGAAAATCAGATCTAGCAGCCACTCTCTTTTAGGATATAAAGGTCCCGAGTTCAACATGGGTGCCAATGATTTCAAGAGGGATGTGAGAGGAAAAGAAGAGGAACTAATGAACAATGTTTAAGAGGTTCTCCTAGTCCTCTCTTAAAAGCATACCCACAGCTGTTTCCAGATGTATCCTTGAGAAGAGCCCAGTCAAAGGCAACAGTTGTTGTTGTTAAGTGCTGTTGAATAAGAACCAACTCAACAGCACTTAACAGCAACAATGTAATTAAGTTTTTAAAAAATTTACTTTCCAAAGCTGTTTTTCTTCAATTTACTCCTGCTTCCCAAACGCAAGCCCAAACCCATTGCCACAGAGTCAATTCCAATTCACTGTTATTGTTAAGGGCCACTGGGTCAGTTCCGATTCATAGTGACCCTGTATAGGGAGGGTTTCCAAAGCTGTACATTTTTACAGGAGCAGAAAGTCTCATCTTTTTCCCACTAGTGGGTTTGAAATACGAAACTTGCGGTCAGCAGTCCAGTGTTTATGTTACATTACCACCATCAGAGCTCCTTTACTGCTTAAAGAGGTTCAAAATTTTAGTAGCAGATCCCTGCCAATATTTAGATTCTAATGGGAAAAACCTCATTTGAACTTGTAGAAGCAGCACACCCAGTACTAGTCAGTGGTCTTCAAGTACCTGTTTTGGTTAAAGGAATTGAGAAGAGTTGCTGAAGAAGCTTGTTTTCTGACGTTCTCAGGACTACAACCACATCGACTGGGAGAGTATCTCTATTCTTCTCAAGAACCCCAGAAGCATCATATAATACCTGCAACATGAGTAGCAAATAGCAAATTAGGCAAATCCGCTGGCCATTTGTTGACAACACTGGCAAGTTGTCTAAGGTCATCCAATTTTTGAAAGGCCAGTTTCTCTTAATATCATATCCAGGTGGTTCTTTAAAGAGTCCAATATTAAAGATATCTCACAGTAGAATTGCTATTAAAATATATTAGACAGTTACTGTACGTGAGGCTTCTATTCTATGAGATAAATATTATTATCTCTGTTTTACTGGTGGAAAACTGAGGCTTAAAGAGAAGCTGAATAGTGTGTCCTGGTCACACATTTCCTAAGTGATAGTCATCAAACCCTGGTTCCCTGGCTCTCTGTTCACAACCAGCACATGCTCACTACCTCCCCACATGCTTCTGAGACCAGAGAGACAGTTCCAGCATGCTGAGCATAAGAGAGGGGATCTAGTTCAGGAAAATTTTAAAGAACACTCCAGAGAATTCCTCATCCACAAACAAGCTTTGAATGGCCAACGAATCAGAAAAGGACAGAGTGGAGAGAAAAGGGATAATCCTTCTCCCTAAAGTCAGGAAAGAGGGAAGAAGGTGTGGGTAGGAAACAGGTGTAAAAGGACAAAGAAACGGGAAGAAAGGAGAGAGGAGGATGACGACATGGTTGGAGACAGAAGAGAAGACTAGGGAGGGGAACAGATAGATGGGTCAACTCAGGTATTGTAGAACATTAATATATGCTCAGATAGCAATGCTAAGGTAAATTAAGAATTTCAGGAAACACCTGTATTGCAATTTCTAACAATGATTCTCACAAAAATAGGTACCATAAAGTACTATGTGGAGTGACCGTCTGTCCCCTTACCTGTATTAGAATTGACTTTCACTCAATAATCAGGCAGGCAAAATCAATTTCAGTGATATGACCTCAATGTAAAAGATCATCTTAATAAATTTTTAATCAACAAAATAATCAAAAATGCCTTTTAATTAGCTCCTACCCATTTTTAGGACCCTGGATCTCAGCAGACCCCACAGGAGCCAATTAGCCATAATTCAAATAGCTCCTTTGGGTGTAAAGCAAGAAACAAGTGGCTATGAGTCCAGAGAATTTCTTGAATCAGTCACTAATCTGCTTCATGAATATGAAACTGAGACTGTGGCATAATATCTGAAAAGTGAAATGTTCAGTTAGTATTGTAAAAGCTTAGCATCTGGTTGATGAAATGAATTTTTTCCCGTTCTTTTCATCTGGACATTTTTGGTGCCTAGCAGAAATGTGTTTCAAGTGCTAAAAACTGAGTCCCACTGTGATATTAGCTTACCTCCATTACTTACACATCTCCAAATTACTTTAGAATGTGAACATTCACAGCTAAACACTGTGAAGAGCTATAATATGTTTTCTCTCTGGAGAGCTGTCACTTGTAGGCCAAACCTCAGGTAAGGGGCAGATGGTGACTCTGTGGGGCCACCCCGGTAAGAAATCGCTTCGGTACCAGGGGTAACTTTCTGTGAGCAGCCACTGAGAGAGTTCAGGATTATGATTAGGCATTCAGGAAGAATTAAAAAGAGGACGATATCTGCAAGCCATTTTGTGAAGAGCACAGATAGGCTAACATGGACACTTTATCCCTTGTCGAATTCAGGCTTACTGATGGTTATTCTCTCCTCACCTTCCCCGCATAGTGCTGGATGCCAAAGCACAGCTCCACTCCTTTGGGCCTCCAGAAGTATTTGCTTCGTAAATTATCTTCGAATTTATCTGTATGGATTTTTATGTTTAAAAGTTACAATGTGAATTGTTTGCTCTTTAAACAAACACATGTTTTTAAAATCTGTAAATTCCTCAAAACAATACAAAAAGTCACTCAGCTGTTGTCAAGTAGATTCTGATTTGTGGCAACCCCGTGTGTTTTAGTAGAACTGTTTTCCCTAGGGTTTTCAGTGGTGGTGAGCATTTACAGAATGACAGGGCTTTCCTCTGAGGCTCCTCTGAGTGGGTTCTAACTGTCAAGTACTTAACCGTTTGCAATGTCCAGGCACTCCTATTGTTGTCGTTGTTGTTAAGTGCCTTCGAATCAGTTTTGACTCATAGCAACCCTGTATAGGGTTTCCAAGAAGTAGCTGGTGAGTTTGAACCGCCAACCTTGCAGTTCAAACCAACCTTGCAGTCCAGCTAATTAGCCCACAGCACAACAGGCATCTCAAAATAAGGAATTACAGAGCAGCCTCTATTATCATTATCGGCACAACGGGGGAGAAAAATCAGCCCATAAGATGGGTATTTGTAACCACACACTTCTTGTTTAGCTTTAGTGTCAGCTTTGCCCTAACGTCTCATGTTCTTCTGCTGTAAGAGCTCCTGGGATGGGCAGCGATGACACCAGAAGCTACCAATTAGCTTTAGAATCATAAAGCTATACTGTGGAAGGCAGACAGCACCCTGGCTTACTCATCTTGGCACTGTGACGATATATAT